TTTTCTCTGAGCCAAGCTCTGAGTCAGGGAGGGAGGAGGATATAAAGAAGAACTCAGGGATCTGAGAGAGCAGGAGGAACATTTTGGGATGTGGTGCAATGCTTCCATTTCAACGGATGAAGGGTCATGGGCTAGACAGCCCAGAGGATCCTGCAACTGCAGGCTCAGGTGGGGTGTGGGGTGGGACAGAAGTGTCCAGCGTGGGAGCAGGTGGTACCTGCATGGAGCCAGATCTGGGCCAGCGTCATCCAAGGGTGTAGAGGCCCCTGCTTGGGGGCGCTGCTCTGCAGAGATGAGGCCACTTCCGACAGCGCCTGCTCCACTCTCGAGGCTGCTACTGATGTGGCGTGGATAGAGCCTGCGAGAGGGTTTCAAGGAGATGGCATCAGGAGTGACCAGATGGATCCAACCAACCAGCCAATGAAACCCTCCCCATACACAGACATGAACACTGGACAAACACACACCCCTCAATTGTTACAGCCTGAATCCTTGGTTTAGCAACTGTTATAGACAACCACAGAGAACGCGTTACCCTAAGTGCTCCCCCAGGGAGCCCAGTGCAATGCGTGCTGGGGAGCGGGTGGGATACAGCTAAAGATACAGCTGAGACACAAGTGCTAACAAAAGACATCAAGAGCTAGTTCAATGAGAAGTTACAAAGCACCCCACTGTCAGGGCCTAAGCTTGGAACCTAGATGCAGAGGGATTATGCCTGCCTTCTCACATTCAGCTCCTACTTGGAGGAGATGGGCAGATCATGCTGAAGGCAAAGCCAGCTCCTCCCCTTGTCATTAGTGCCCTCCGGCCTTAGAGAGGTGGACATATCCTTGACATAACTTCAACACCAGAAAAAGCAGAGTGTAAGCAGCTATTACTGAGGCTAAAACAAGACCAGTTCAGACTGGGTTCCAGCAAAGACACCTGAGGTCCAGCACAAACCTGCTGTCCTCCAAAGTTTACGAAAGCAGCACGTGGGCACATTCTGGGGAAAGAACGTCTGCCTATTCAGATGTCGAAATGACTCATTTCTCTTTACAGTGACCTCCTAGAAGTAGTGAGGATCAGAGATCACCTTACACAGAGCTTATTCCCAACTTCTTTCTAACCTCCCTCTTGGAATTCAGTCCTGGTTTCAGAATGGAGAGCAGAAGTCTCCTTACTTCAAATTTCATATGGTGAGTTTCCTGCTTACTTGCAACATTGTTAATTTATAATTCATCCTCAAGTTTAACAACAGGGAAACATTCCAAGGACAGCTCTATGAACTCATCAGATACCTTACAGCAATGGTAGGAGAGAATGTTGACTACCAAATATATCCAGTTATAATACAACGATACAATGTTGTACTCAGTAGTACAACAACATTGTTGTTATATGCAGTGGTGTCAGTTCGATTCAATGTAATCCTGTATAGGGTTTCTCAGGCATGGCTGGTGAGTTTCAAGCACCAGCCTTGCTGTTCAAACTGACTTTGTGGTCCTGTGCTTAGTCAACAGCACCACACCAGTACAACATTTTGAGCCTAAAAACCATTTCTGTTGGGCTTTGGAATGCACCTTTAATTTGTTTAGTTGAAGCATATTTGCACCAGTAGACTGACCATCTATGTTCTGGCTGGCTTTGCCAATAGGAAGGTCATTGGATGATTTATGGGAGGTGACCAGGATGCACCTTCCATGGGCACCCATAAGGGCAAAACAGGGGGCAGCCTCTGGTGACGCACCGCTTTCCACTCTGAGTCCTCCCCAGGAATAAGGAATTACGACACTTCGTGAATGGATGGTATAATGATGCACGGAGACCCAAGAGGTTTTATCTAAACCCCCTGTCTACATAAAACATTTCTAACTACAATTGTCTACTTCAAAGCAAAATGATGCAACTGTTAGACTTTTTTTTTTTTGGGGGGGGGGTGTTGTTTTGGGGTTTTTTGCCCTTTTCGGGAAATACATTATTTTAACTTTGATAACAAGGATTTGATATAGTTTCCCTCAGATTTTTAGTAGCAATAATCTATTAAATGAATAATCCAGAGGCTGACTGTTGTTGTTGAGTTCTGACATTACCAAGCTGGCTTACTGTCTTGTTGACTATCTTAAAGACTAGTTCTTCACCCGGGTTTCACATAAGAAGCACTTGCTGTTATGTGCCGTGGAGTCAGTTCCAACTCATAGAGACCCTGTACAGGGTTTCCAAGGCTGTAAATCTTTACGGGAGTAGAAAGCCTCATCCTTCTCCCACAGAACAGCTGGTAGTTTCAAACTGCTTACCTTAAGGTTTGCAGACCGATTTGTAACCACTTCACTAACAGAGTTCCTTAAGAAGCACTTGGGATTTAAAAAATCAAAGTGTCCCAGGGACAGCCCAGCCTAACAGGACCACCGATTCTGGAGTGGGGTGGAGCATCTGTTTGATCACATGAGGTCATTCTCCAGCGTGTAGCTCAGCCCCACACCACTGGCCTGGAAGGACCAGAAGGAGATGAACCACCATTTGGCCAAGAAGAGCCTGAAGGTGCCTCCAAACGTCAGCCTGCCTCAGCTCTCCTACTTCCTGGATGACAGAGTTCCAGGAAGGTATAAGACTTTGTTATTTAGAACAGTGGTGCTCAACTGCTTGGTCTCAAAACCCTTGGCCCTCTTACAAACTCCTGACAGGTTTTGTTTACATGGGTTATAGCTGTTGATATTTCATATATTAGAAATTAAAACTGAGCCGTGCATAAACTATTTAGTCATCAATTCATTTAAAAATAACCGTAATCAACAGCTACTCTAAATGTCTAGACATTTTCTCCCAGATTCTATGGGTCTGTGTGACTTTTGGAGGAGCTAATCATGTGACTATTATTATTAATTAGCCGGAGCCCTGGTGCGGTCCTGTAGGATAAGCATTGGACTGTTAACCATTAGATGGGTGGTTTAAACCTATGAGCTGCTCCAAAACCTTATATAGGGCCACGATGACTTGGACTTGACTTTATGGCACTTAACAATACCACCAATCTTGACTTTTGGATAAACTGGCAGTTTGCTCCTGGGTTTCTTTGTTGTTTGGGGCCCAAAAATGAACAAATCAGAACTGTTACCAAAGGTTCTTCTCTTTGTGATGCACAGATGTACATGTGAGGGGGCTTCCAAAAGTTTGTGGAAAAATTCCATTATCTATTTCCTTTATACATGAACTTTTTGAAGCCCTAGTTGATATACTAAGTTAACGGATTCCTAGCGTAATAATACGCTCCTCTTTTACTGTGAATTAAGGAGCCCAGGTACTGCAGTGGATTACAAACTGGATTGCTCACAAGGTTAGCAATTTGAATCTACTAGCTCTTCCTCAGGAGAAAGATAAGGCTTTCTGCCTCCATAAAGATTTACAGGGCTGCTCCCGACTCAGTGGCTCACTACCACCACCTTTACTGTGAAATGTTGTTGTTGTTGTGAAGTGCCGTGGAGTCAGCTGACTTGTAGAGACCCTACATAGGGTTTCTAAGGAGCAACTGGTGGGTTTGAACTGGCAGCCTTGTGGTTGGTTATCCTATCCTACAGAGCCACTGTGAATTGGGCCTGGCCAATCATGATGGTGATAGCAGCTAGGTTCGCCGCATCTGATCTTCAACCAATCCCAGGAGGCAGGGAGCAAAGTCACCTGCATTGTTTAGGTGACAAAGCTGAGATGGAAGGAGGTTCTGAAACTCACTCCAAGCCACACAGCCAGTAGGTGGTCGAACCAGAGCTCAAACACTAGTCTGATTCTAAATCCCACCTCTGCGACCCTTCCTTCCTTCTCTCCCTGCCCCACCCCTGTCATAGGCACCTCAGTGCGCCCATTAACACCTGGGGTCTGGCTCTCCCAGTGAGGACTGCAGTGATGTAACTGGCTTCCCTACTAGACTGTATGCTTCCAGAAGACAAGAACTATGTCCTCCATGTGACTATTTTCAGGGGCTCACAGGGGTCCCTAGTAGATGCTCGGTAAATGTTTGCTGAATGAATGACTGAGTACAAAATTCAAATGGCCTGGTTCTGTCTCTTTTGGACCCCTGTTCTTGTGCTCTCCTCCCTGGGTGAGGGTTCAGAGGCCAGCACCTCCACTGCCTCACAGAGCTGTTGACTGTAGTGGTCACCAACTTCTAACTCTCTGGACCCAAAGTGACCGTGGCACATAGTTATCAGCAAACACTGGACCTCATTTTACCTGTCCCCAACCCCCATTAAAGAATGGAAGAAGACAAATAGGTTTATAAAACAATAATTTTCTCCTTCTTAGTCAACTCCTTTTACTACGAATTTCATAAGGGCAGGGCCCTCGTCTTCTCAATGAGGCAGAGGATATTAAGAGCACTCACATATTTATTAATAATATCAGTTATTGTTGTTGCTAAATGCTGACTCAGCAGCCCTGTATAGAGTTTCTGAGGAGAGGATGGTAGGTTTCAACCACTAACCTTGCGGTTAGCAATCTGGTGCTTACCTTACAGTGCCATATCAGAACTCCAGTCAATTAATAATAATAGTCAAATGATTTGTTGTTGTTGTTAAGTGCCATTGAGTTGGTTCCTACTTAGGTTAGCAGTCCATTGCTGATCCTACACCAAGCATCTCAAATGATTTAGTAGTCATAAGGAGTCCTGGTGTGGCATTGTGGGACTGTGAGGGCGACAGTTCAAACTCGCCAGCCACTCCTCAAAAACCCCATACAGGGTCGCTATGAGTTGTAACCAACTCGACGGCACTTAACAACAACAACACACTGTGTAAATGGCAGGGATAGTATGTCAAATGACTTAGTAGTAATCAACATCTACAATCCCTACCAGGATCAGCAAGTCAAACTTTTGTGCTGGACTAGAATCTGGGAGGAAAATGAGGATCCACACCATAAGGATAAAAACAGCCCAACCAAACTCTGCTGCACTGTTTCATGGGGCTGATATGGACAGAGCCAGAACACACACTGGATTTTGATTGATGCAGGTAAATAATTAGAAATGCTAGACTAGAAACAACTAGAAATGACCAAGATATTTCTAAAGCAACCTTTTTTTTTGGTCAGCTCACCAAAGCAAATGTGTACCATGTCCATGGGGCTCAGGAAGACTATTCGTCCACGTTGGGAATGGACAAACAGAGGCTCAGGAAAGGAGTCAGAAGAAGGAATACAGGGTCTATTTCCAATATGAAATACAAGACTCTGGAGAAAGGCACTTCCAGGCTTCGGGTTCCATGGACCACGCTGGGCAGCCCAGCATCTCTTATTTATCACGCTAATTTGAGATGTGCTTATCACGGTCCTCACTCTGAGGGCTGTGATCTGTGTGGCAGCTGATGCTCTCGCTCACCGAGATAGGGT